TTATGTACACTGTTGTACATTCTCGCTCGGTTCTTCATAAGCCTATATTGATCAGAGTTGCTACAACCTGGCCTCTGATTGCCAGATTTGACACCATTTTAACTGTAGATTCATTTGAAATTCTGGGTGTACGCTGGTGAATAATCATTTTTAGCATAATTGAAAACTGCTATCTACCATAAATTCACTTCCATAGACTTATTCTGTGCATTAATGAATAATGAAATTACATGTTTGCAGAATGCGATTTTTTGCAGTGGTGATGAGGGGCACATTGAACATTTGGTCATATAAAAATGCTGTGTAATGAAGCAATTATGTGGCATTTAAGAACCTTTGTTTCATTAAATGTCATCAAAAGCATCGGATGAAGGAGTAATGCTGTTTACTGGTAAAACTAAGATTTTTTTCCCCCTTTTTAGCAACAACAAAAAAACTTCATAATTCCGTAGTACCAACATTTCCAGCTTTCATCGCATCTCTCTGTTTCTCGATCAAGTCACCAAATTGAAAGTTTTGAATCAATCACCAGAGGTTTTAAGTTTTTAGCTCAGCGTAATATTTTTGAACAGTAAATGAAAAATTTATCAACTTAATGAAGCTTAAATTGTGTAAATTCCATTCTTCTGCTACTAATTATTTTTGGCATAATTTTTGTTATTAAATTTTATTTGATTGGAATTGACCTAATCAACTGTAGATATTTGCAGAAGACCTTTGATAAGATTCAGTTTATGTTTAATTAGTTAATATTTGTATTTTATTTTGTCTTGCATCAGTATATGATATACTATGAAGTTTATCTGTGTAGTAATATGTACATTTTATGTTCATCATATTTAAAAGTACTTATAAATTAAAGCATTTCTTTCTTACACATGATTTTTCTGTGTGTACAAATGTAAAAAAGTTTAAAAAATAAAATTACTTGAAAAACATAAAATTTAGAATATCTAACCAAATACTAATACATTATGGAAGAAAGTGCAGAATCACCTGCTGTTTGGCACATTTTTAAAAATTGCATAAACTCTGTATCTGTACACATTGACCTATTTTCACTTAAAAAAACATCAGATAATTGTGCTTGTTTAAATGTGAATTAACAACTAAATTTCTTTTTCCAAAACTACTTTTTAAAGTTTTTATTGCTGCTTCATAATTTTTGTTTGTCAACATAATTCCTTTAATAGCATTAGCAGCTTCTCCAGTTAAATATGAGTGTAAGTAATTTATCTACGGTTTATTTTACCTGTTTAAAATTCAAATATATATATTCTGAAAGTTCTTACAACTCTCCTTCTACAGTCAAAAGTTGTTAATACGGACTCGTCGGGACTTCGGCGATTCCGGATTATAGATCATCAGTTTAAATCTCGTAAGATGGCATGCAGAAATTCTAAAATTAAAAGTATGAAACCATAATTTATGAAATAAAGAACAATTATGATCTAAAGGGTATCAAAATTTGCAAAAAGAAAAAGCTTAATATTTATTTGTTTACTTTATTAAACATTTCTTTCAATGTAAGTTATTTAAGTTTTGCTTCATTCATGTGATAATACTTCTCTTAATTATATTAAACAGACATAATTTCTTGTTCAGTTACAAAAGTTCCGCTGTTCAAGTCCTAAATTGCTGTGTCGAGAATACTGATAATTTGTCAATCGAAATTTTTTCATTTTCAAAACCTCGTCACTTCTTCGCTATCGGAAGCGAATTACAATGACGAGGAACTTGTTTTAAATCATATCAAAGACGGAGCACATCGAGATGAAATACTACATTTGATAAGGAATTATAAGCCAAATAAAATAAAAACATCTGCTCTGAAGATAAGGATAGTGCTGACAGATCAACTTCCAATTCATTACGCGCCCGCCGCGGCGTTCCCCCCCCCAACCCCCCGCCGAGCAGCATGAAATTGATAAACTGATTTCGGATTTCAAAACATACTTTCGCTTTAGATCCTTTACATATTAACAAATATTTATCGGAGATTCTATTTGATATAATCGAAAGTTTAACTTACTTTATAAAATTGCTCTACAGTCTGCAAAAAATAATAAGCCGGATCCTACTCGAAAATTAAGGAAAACGCAATCATCAACACTAACTGAAATAGATAATTATTTAGCTTATATGTCCATTTACATAAAATGCGCACGGAAAATTATTCTGCACTGCGCACACTCATATGCACAGTCATAAAGGTCTTACGCGCACGCGTAAATGCCTATGCGCATGTGTCAACGTGGCGCATGCGCAGAAAGTTTTTAGTTTTGAGGTCTGGATTATAGATCATTCCGAATTAAGGGTGTCCGAATTAACGACTTTTGACTGTATAGCATTTTCTAAGATTTTACTTTTGATTTTAGTCCGCCCAGACAGTATAGTGGTTAGAGAAGACTGACTGCGATACCGAAGGGCCTGGTTTCGAATCCCGGAGAAGGCATGGTTATAACTGTCTGTTCCTTCATAGGAGGTGATGGTGGCCCACCTATTAGGTGCCTCCATAATGAAGAGACCACGACATCTGGTCTTGTATTGATTAATGGACTGTGTTACACTGTAACTGTTCACAATCTGCCATTGGGGGGGGGACCTTTGATTTTAGAAATTCATCTTGTTGTAAGAGATCTAAGAGTAGTTCTCTTATCCTTAGCTATTTCCATTTAAAAATAAATTCTAACAGCTCTTTCAAATTATTTATCTAAGTTTGTCTTCTGATTTTAAGCACATTAAAAAGAAGAATTAAAAAGATGCGAAGTACATTTCTTAATATTAAAAAGTAGAACTTAATGTTATCATAGTTAATTAGAAGTAATCCAACCTTACCTATTTATTCCAAACACTGTAAGCACATCTGTTGTGGCTTGAATTTAAAAAAGCAAAAGATTACTGTTATTTTGTACAATAATGTATGGGAAATTGAAAGCATTACATAACACATTCACCAGATGTGAAATCGAAATACCAAACTTGAAAGAACATCGAACTGTCTCATGCTCATATAACCTTGAGATGACAGTAGCACAAAAATTTATCTTACCTGACATATATCATCTTAAATGAAACACTGTATATTTGTAAAAATAAATCATTTTGTTGAAAGCCCAGATATCCATGATGGTTCTCAAGTCCCTTTTTTTTTAAATCAGTGCCACATCATAATAAGAAGATTCTTCCATATGGAAGAGAAACGGCCTTTAATAGCACTATAAATTAACTCTTTGGGGATTTCTAAACAATTCTGAAAGAGAACATTACATTTTTTTTCAGGTGTTTTAATACTGTCTTATCAAAATAACATATGTAAATCATCAACTTGCGAACTGGATCTAATCAAGACAGTCTGGAATGGGGGGGGGACTGGATTATGAGGAATATAATCATTTTGGAGCCTCAAAACTTAGCTTTGTTGGCTTAGTCCATAAACAGGTCCTCTTTGCAAAAACTCTAAAAGGTTTTCACAAATTTTTATTGGTCCATCAATATGAAGACCGCAGATAGAAATATCAGTCTCTGTGTACTTTTTCATAAATAGTTTAAAATATTTATTAATCTGTGCTATCTATTTATTTGTTGTTGATAATGCAGAGTTGTTTAGACAACAAGCAGAGTAAAATTTTCATATTGATTGTTGAAAATGAAAATTCACTAAAACATGCTTTTGTACATTTTATTTTCTTAAAGATTATTTTGATTTATCATATATGAAAAATAAATTATAAATCAAAAAAAATATAATTTGGACAAAAGTAGATACATAACAAACTTCTTCTGCAAACTGTAATTATTTTATGTAAAGAGTATTTCAATAAAAAATACGGATAATTAGAAGAAACTGATTACTTTTACAGGGAAAAAAGTTTCTTAAAGGATAAGTATTTTTTATGTTCATTTTGAATTTATCATCAAGCATTTTTAATATTAGAGTTTACATATAACTCAAAAATCTTTTAATAGAAAATTCATATTTTTGAATATATGCTAAAATATTTAAATATTAATAATATTATGTTATAAGTCAGTTTTTATAGGTTATATAATTCAAGAAAATTTTAAACTAAATCAGGAAAAATATCTCAATTTTATTCAGATTAAACTTAAATTTCAGTTTTTTGTTGTTGTTGTTGCTGCTGTTTGTGGTCGTGTGATTTTTTACAAATATTTGTACTTGATATATGGCGTAAAATCGAAAGGTGGGAAAACAATCACCATGTCATTTCAGAAAGTCTTATTTCAAAGTACATGGGTTCAAGCAATGCAATAAAATACCCATTGCTTATTAAACTCAATATTTAACCCTTCATCAGTTGTGAGATTAAGCAATTTTTTCGTCCCAAATACACACAATATCTGTCAGCCATAAATTTGTTATGTGAGCTGGTTCATATGTGCCCAGCACGTTTCATAACTGAAGTGTGCTGAGCTTGTTGATGACTATCAAATAGTTAATAAAATTAGTTCTGAAGTTTTAAAGTATCTGAAGTTTTAAAGTTCTGAAGTATGCAATTCAACATTTAAATTTATATTATACAATGTCAGCTCTGTAATGTTAGTATTCTTATAAAGTTGCATTTAACTAAAGAATTCCAAATCACTTGTGTTAAGAGTTTAAATATTTTCATGATTGTTGAAACATTGTTCTGTTTTTAACTGTTGCTCTTGAGCTCATTATTCTTTTTTTTACACTTTCATCTAGTTCCTTATTTTGCAGAATATGAGTAATAAGGTAAAAAATACTTTTTTCTAAACATTAAGTAAACATTAATGCATATCATTTTCAGGAGTATGAAAAATAAAGACATTTCAGTTCTTTCTTAAATGCCTTTGTGCTGTAATGTTTAACACATTTTAGTAGCAAATGGAAGATCTATGTCTTGATTCCTGGCAAACGCCAAGTTAATTTTTCATACTTCAAAAATTTAATAGTCACCCAAAGTTCTGATAACCTAATAGTGGCTGTAAATTTTATCACATTTTAAAATTTGCAGGTGGAGTGGAGCACGTAAAAGTTCAATAAACTTGAATGAAGGCAAACGTATTCTCAAAGATCCAAGACCTCTTTCTGATAAAAATTATCAGAAACAAAAAGTAAAAGAACTTATGGAGGTAGTATGTCTAAATTATTTATTATATATCATACATTTACCCTTTGCAAATTTAGTAAATTTATGCATTTATTTCACTTTATCTTAATTTTTCTTTTCTTTCTTTCTTTTTTTTTTCTTCTATCAGTTTTTAGAGCAGGTAGGTTACAGTCACTCTTTGACTATTTCAAGCATGATGCCTCCTACTAAGAAAGAGTTCGAAAATATTTTCCAGGTAATTAAAATTGTATTTTTGTTTCATTCAAAATATTATTTGAAAAATATTTATTAAATTGTCATAAAATTGTAATTTGCATAATTTAATTTAATTTTTAATTTTAGTTTCTATATGGCTTTTGGTGTTCAAGCTATAAAGTGCAAAAAATAGAAGAAGAAGCCCCGAAAATTTTGAAAAATCTCAGTTATCCATTTGTCCTAAATAAATCCTCATTTGCATATGTTGCTCGTAACAACTGGCCATCACTTCTGGGTGTTCTTCTTTGGCTAATGGACTTAAATAAGGTGAAAAAACTAAATATTTTATTTTAAACCATGTAAATTGTTATTTCTCAACCATCTCTTTTCTCTTGAACTCTTGTATAGTAGTTTCTTTGGTATTATTAGTGAATGACCTGTCGAGCCATATTGTAACAGGTTGATCTATCTTTTTCAAAATCTTTGTTTTAGATGATTTTCCTAATACTTAGATAATAAAATGTTTTTTTCTCAAGTAAAAAATTAGGCAGAATACTTAGAAGTCTATATATAACATGTTGCTGCACTTTGTTGAATTATGGTAGCAATCTGTTAAAAAAAGGGACAAATTTGAACTGAAAAATTAGACAGAATGCACAACAATATATATATATAAGATTTTTTTTTAATATAACTTTCTTGAATTATAACAGTTTGTGAAAAAAGGGGACATATGGTGTGCAGAGATTTCGGGACAGTATTTGTGAGAAAGTGAAATAGGATGATTATCAGTGTTCTGTTGAATGTGATCATGTAGTAAAATTAGGACTTTTGATAAATGTGGAATAATACTATTTTAATCAAGGAAAAACTAGGATTGATTGAATTTCTTTTTATCGTGCTTATTTTTTCATTCTAACCTTTGGAAGATGTGACTGCATAGTTGGCAACTCTCTTGGTTTTTCAACACTACTTCCATTCACCTAGTAGATCGTTGAATGTTGGTGTTTTAAAATTTTAGTGTTTATCAAAGAAAATGTTTCCCAGCAATAAGTGAAATTTTTTGAATTAATGAAACTTGAAGTGTGCAAATTAGATTCCCTATCTGTAGTGATTTTCAGCATAATTTTTATTATTACATTTTATTTGATTTGAATTGTCTTATTTACTGTAGACTTTACATAAATCTATACAGTAAAAAGTCTTTAATTCGAAAAAATCTGCTAATTCGGACGTCCATAATCTGGACCTCAAATGCTATAAACTCAAACTTTCTGCGCATTTAGCGCATAGCGTTTATGCATCAAATATTTTATGCATGCACGTTTAATAGGACGGTATAAGCTAGGCTAAAATTATCTATTCAGTACTGTTGCAGATTGTGTTGTTCCTTAATCTTCTAATTGGATCCGGCTTATTATTTTTTGCAGACTGTTACAGCAATTTCATAAAAAGTAAGCGTGAACTTTCAATTATGTCAAAAAGAGTTTCCGATTCTGGAGCTGCCAAAGGATCTACAAAGCGAAAGCATGTTTCGATGTCCATCAAACAAAAAGTGGAATTGCTGCAAAAAATGGATAAAGGCATGAAGAAAGTGACAGAGAGGTTAGTGAAAACGAAAAAATTTCGATTGACAAGTTAGTCAGTATTCTCGGCACAGCAATTACAGGACTTGAACAGCGAAACTTTGTAACTGAACAAGAAATTATGTCTGTTTATAGCATTAAAGAGAAAGTATTAGCACATAAAATGAAGCAACTTAAACAACTTCCATTGAAAGAAATGTTTAATAAAGTAAACAAATAAATATAAAGCTTTTTCTTTTTGTAAATTTTGATACCTTTTAGATCATAATTGCTCTTTATTTCATAAATTACGGTTTCATATTTTTAATTTTATAATTTCTGCATGCCATCTTACCTGATTTAAATTGATGATCTATAATCCGGAATCACCGAAGTCCCGACGAGTCCGGATTACGGACTTTCTACTGTATATGTATGTAATCCTTCACTCATCCAACATTCCACTGCTCCAACACTCATCCAACACACACACTCCGTCGATGCATAATGTGTTTATGCATGCGCAGAAAGTTTGTAGCTTCGAGGTCTGGATAATAGATCATTCCGGATTATGGACGTCTGGATTAAAGACTTTTGACTGTACGTGCTATCTATTGAGAAAACAAGTTCAGAAGATTAACAGTTTCAAACACAGAATTATCAACAGTATTGCAAAAATCAAACATCGGTTTAAAGATTTTTTCATACTTTAGTAGTATGAAATTTATTCCATATTTTTCCTTCATATAAATGCTTTAAAGTATGTTTTAATGCTCAATTGAGATTATTCATAATTTTATTTTGCTTATTTTTAAATATTTTTATGATTTGTATTATTCTTTTATATTTATGATTTGTGTATTTTTACAGCATATAAAAAGTCACTCTAAATAATAGATCATTATTCCTTGTTCATAAGGTGAAGGAGATTTGGCTGAATGTGATGCAAAGATATAATAATCCTGATAACAGGCATTTTTTCCTTGCCCCAAAGATGGCTTTGAACGACATCCGTGATTTTATTAATAACAACATTAACACGTTGAGCACCACATCAGCCATCTGTGGCTGACACTAGACTTTCTGTTTAGGCTGCGTCAGCCATCTGCGGCTGACACTAGACTTTCCGTTTAGGCCATGTCGACCTCTGCTGGCTGGCAGTGTGTAACATGATATATAACTATAAAATTTACTCTATTTTATGAAAGTACAGAAAATTTATTTAAAATTTACTTTATTGATTCATTACAGGACTAATGGATTTCATTGAAACTCGGTAAACATAAAAACGGTTCTCTATTACAGCTATTACAAACTGTGACAGCTCTCTTAGTCTTTTTTTCTGCCCATTACTCTACCAACTTCTGTTGCATTATCATAACATAATTTACAATATTTCCGTACTTCAGAGGCTTTTCCCGTTTTTCTTTGGAGTTTATGTTGTCGTTTTTTTAGATATTCTTGCATTTCTGTTCGATGGAATGTCTTCTTTTTCACAACTTGTAAGGGATAGCGCTAATTCTTTCTAGAATTCAGTAATGCTGATTTTCTGCTTCGTAATATCTTTGTGTAGAATGTAACTATTTACGAAACAGACTTGGTGCGTAATGTGTTGAATGAATGCCTATAGGAATCCCATCCCGAACGTAAACTATTTTCTGCTGCGATAAGAATCACTGGCCCTACAATACCAGCACTTTTAAGTGGCGCGCGTGGTCTGAATGGGATTGCCTAAAATACTTGTGGCGCTCAATGTGTTAAGATGCCTTTGCTCATTGTGAGATAATGGCGGCTGAAAGTTCTGCGTATTTTTTTCCCCATCAATTCTATGATTAATTTTCTATTAAAATACTTAAACAAGAAAGGATTGCATGATTAAATATAAAATAAGTGTTGTTTTAATTTTTTTAATGAAATTTGTTTTTACGCAGTTTGTCATGAATATTGATCCTAACATACTCTTCGCTAGTGGGGACAGTGAAAGACCACAGGAACATGCAGTAAGTGAAAATTAAGTTGTATTATACTCTTAAAGCATAATAATAATTATCAATTTGATTTTTATTTAATGCTTGGTAGAGATGCTCTTTGTATAAAAAAACAGAATATTTTTTAAAATGTTCTTTATTAGTTTATAGAGACAATTCATAACTTGCTTAAATTATTTTTAGTACTTGTTGACATTATTTTCTCATGACAGATTAAGAAATAGCACTATAAAACAGGGAATTCTCAAAATACAAACTTAATTTTTTTCTAGCCTGTAATTGCATTTTTGTTACATTAAAAAAAAAAAAAAAAAAAAAAAAAAAAAAACAGAAACAAGATACCATATGTCAATTCCTAGTATGTGAAAAATCTAAATAATAAAATTAAAAAATGAGAAACAGTTGAAAGAAAAAGTACCTGCAGTATGCACGGAAGAGTAGGTTCTGTATATAAATGTGAAAGACTGAAATCATGAAAAGGAGTTAGAAAGGATTAAACATTTTATATTTTGCTTTATATCTCTGCATTTATTAAATGTAGAGGTAGGATTATAGTTATTTTAAATGATTTAGTGTTTCTGAAATTCATTATGATGATGATATGAGTATGAATACATTATGTATTTTACTAGGAATTATTTTAATAACTTATCAACTTCCATAGCTTATAAATTTTGTATTTAAGAACTTTTCCTAACTTTTCATACCTAATAAATATCAGATTATGTATTGTTTTTAAAAGCTTTTTCTAATATTCGTATGGGTTAAAAAAATACATTAAGACAAGTCCACTGAATGCGAAGACATTTTAAAAAGACTGCCTTTTTGTGTTCAAATAGCTGGTTGGATAGTTTTGAGAAGTAGAAACCCATTTCTCGAGGAAAAATTATCAGAGAATCAGGGAGTGTTTCAAGATTAGATATCAAAAAGTGTGTGTGTAGGGATAACATTTCTTAACATTGCCAAGAAAGACTTTCTCAACATCAATGACACTGAGCTGTTCTATGAGATGATGCCAAATTAAATGTTAAAATTTTAAGATCAAAGTTGCCATTGCAGAAAATTGTGAAAAGTAGAAATTGCCATTCTTGTATGTGCTTATATAAATGGCAATGAGGCATTATATTCTTTTGGTGAATGGAAAATCTCAAAGGCCAGGGTACTTAAAGAGAAAATTCTTTGTTTCCAATAAAGTTAATAAGGCATGGATGATATCAAAATTGTTTGAAGAAGAGTTGCAAAAGCGGAATGAAGAACTTTTGCCCAGAAAGAATAAAATTCTCTTGGTTGACAAATGTACAGCATGCTCAGATATTGAAAATCTAGAATGACTTAAAATTATTTTCTTCCTTCCGAATGTAACTTGAGGATGATAAGGAGCTTGAAAATGCAACTTAAGAATTATTGGGAACAAACTGCAATGAGGAGCCTGAAATGTCATTACAAAAGGTACCTCATTTTAAGCATCTTGGAGAAGTTTGACAATCACATCAATTATAACATGTCACCTCTTGTTTGAATGCTCTGTAATAAGTCTTCATGACTTCTTACAGAATGAGCCATCCAAGATTATTTTCAGTGTGCTGATCTAGCAAAGGGTATTGAAGAGGAAGATGAAAACAAGGATTTATCTAAGTGGTTTGGAGAAATACAGTCAAAAGTCGTTAATTCGGACGCCCATAATTCGGAATGATCTATAATCCGGACATCAAAACTAAAAACTTTCTGCGCATGCGCCGCGTTGACACATGTGCAGAGGCGTTCACGCGTGCGCGTAAGACCTTTTACGACTGCGCATATGAGTGTGCGCAAGTGCAGAATACGTTTTCGCGTGCGCATTTTATGTGCATCCGGCTTATTATTTTTTGCAGACTGTAAGAGCAATTTTATAAAAGTAAGCTTAAACTTTCGATTATATCAAATAGAATTTCCGATATATATTTGTTAATATGTAAAGGATCTAAAGCGAATGTATGTTTCGAAATCCGAAATCTGTTTATCAATTTCACGCAGTTCGGCGGGGGGAATGCCTCGGCGCACAATGATTTGGAAGTTGATCTCTCAGCACTATCCTTATCTTCAAGGCAGATGTTTTTATTTTATTTGGCTTATAATTCCTTACCTAAATGTAGTATTTCATCTTGATGCATGCTCCGTCTTTGATATGATTTAAAACAAGTTCCTCGTCATTATAATTCGCTTCCGATAGTCGAAGAAAGTGAACAGAGGTTATTGAAAACGAAAAAATTTCGATTGACAAATTAGTCGTGTTCTTGACACAGCAATTATAGCACTAGACTTGAACGGCGGAACTTTGTGACTGAACAAGAAATTATGTCTGTTTAATAGAATTAAAGAGAAAGTATTATCACATGAAACGAAGCAAAACTTAAACAACTTACATTGAAAGAAATGTTTAATAAAGTAAACAAATAATATTAAGCTTTTTCTTTTTGCAAATTTTGATACCCTTTAGATCATAATTGTTCTTTATTTCATAAATTACGGTTTCATATTTTTAATTTTGGAATTTCTGCATGCCATCTTACGAGATTTAAACTGATGATCTATAATCCGGAAAAATCGATAATCCGGAATCGCTGAAGTCCCGACGAGTCCGGATTAACGACTTTTGACTGTAATAGCATTTCAGTATTTTCAAAATTTCATATTGGGTTTTTTAATCATGCAGTGAATTATCACTGCATGATTACATGCTATTACATGCAAAGGTCCAAGTGATAAACATATTGTGACAGAAATTAATATGAGAAATGATTACATTAGATTCTTGTGATGCTGACAATAAAGTTGGAAACAACGTAAAACATGGAAAAGGGAGCTCCTGATCACAGCAGATGCTGTAATGATTTCATTCATAAATTTTTATTTAGACAAAACATAGAACTGAAAATGATAAAATATTTTTACTTTTTGGACAGAAATATGGATAAAATATTCCTGCAGCATCATGTCAGTAGAAAATTAGAATGTTTTTGTACTCAGAAGTGAAGTAAAAGTTAATAATACGACTATATATATATATATATATATTGTTCATTTTTAGTGATTTTTCTTATTTTTACAGCTAAAATAAATAAACATTCAGAGTTACAAATGTGTAGAATAAAAAAAGAAAATACAGTCGTCAAATTTAATTAGTCCAATGAATTTAATTAAATCTTAATGTTATTTTTCAAATTAGATTTGTTATTCACATCTTTTGGTAGATGTGATAATGCTAATCAGCTTCCCCCCATGATTATCAATCAGTTTTTGTGGTATAATCCATATTTCTTGTTGGATATAGTGAACTAAATTTCCATTTCCATGAAGTTCATTATAGCAAGGTTCAAATGTATTTATATTCATATTCTGGAACTCTGTTCAAATGTATTTATGTTGTTACTGAGAAAGAAATTAAGAAATAGTTAATCTGCTAAAAAGTGAGAAGGCAAAGTGTTTTGGAGAACTAAGCAATTGGTTATCAATAGAAGTGAACAGAAATAAAATAGTATGAAATGAAAATAAAAAAATTAATTAAATAACATGTGGAATTTTTAAAGACTCAAAAACACCTAGTCTCTAATTTCCTAGTAAATGCCACTTATAACTTTCTATATTGTAAAATAATTATTAGTTTGATGAATATCTCAGAAGAAAGTCCTCCAGTTATTTCTTTTGCTACATCTCATCTTAGTAGGTATTTAAACAAGCCAGCAATGTAAACATGAAAATCATCAAAAAGAATTTTGAAATATTTGAAAGAAACAGTAAATTTAGCATTGGTATGCAAAAAAGGAGAACAAAGATTGGAAGCATTTTCACTCTCAGATTAGGCTGGTGATGAGTTTGCAAAAAAAAAAAAAAAAAAAAAAAAAAAGGTGTTTCGTAGTGTTTAATATTCTACTATGGAAATCCAGTGCAACGGATTTCAAACAAACAGAACTGTTTGTTACATATCATTTTGTGAAGTAAAATATATTTCTGTACCTGAAGCTTCAGTTGAAATTATTTCCTTAGTTAGAATTGCAGCTGATGTAGAACATAATAAGCCTTTATATTTTAATTTAAATTTAGATATTCAGCATGCAATTCATTTAATAAAATGTTATGAAAATAGTAAGGGATCAAAGCATATTGATATCAAATGTAATTTTATTCAAGATTTGTTACACAAGGAAGTAATTAACTAACTTCAGGAAATGTTTCACACATTTTAATCAAAACCATAGCCTTTATAAAATTCATAAATGCAGGAATAATTCTAAATATAAGAACTTGATTTTTGAATTTTGAAATATAATGGAATTTTAACATTTAATTCTAAAATAGAAGAGTTTTTGAGAATTATTACAGTACTACTTCAATGTTTTGTTGTTCTGTTCTGTTATATTGTGAGCATCATCTTGTATATAAAATAAAATGCCCTTTTAGAACAGCATCAAGCTCCTCTTTCCTGTATATCTGACATTTTTACTAAGCAAGATTTCTGTATTCTTAATTCTTTCAATTTTCAAGTTTTAAATTTTAATTTATTAACATTTTTATTTTTTAAATCTAAAGCTTCGATTTTTGAAAATTTTCCAACATTTATATTCTCTTGTTAAATTTCTAATGAAGACTGATTATTTTACTGTAGAAAGGTTTATTTTATAAAATAGACATTTTAAAAGCTTTTTCTTAAATATAAAACTTTTATCCTTGATTCTGAGAAAAAATAGACTAACATATATCTTAAAAAATTAAATTATGTTCTTTCTAAAAAAGTACACATTAAAAAATATTTTTTAAAATTGTAAACCTGAAATCTGAAAAATATTTTTAAGTTAGTTTCTGTTAGGTTATTAAATATTTTTATGCTTTTGATGTTACTGAGTAAAGTTTTTTTTTATATTCCAATATATGATTTCTCCATTTAGTTTAATTATATGCTATAATGTTTTAATTTGCTTTATCTGTTTTTCATACTAAAACATCTGAAGTTACTGTTTCATTAAAATATGCTAGTGACAGCCCTAAGTTGCTCTTATTTCCTCCTATTTGTTTATAGGTGCTGCTAAACTTTATTTGTCAAAGTCATTACAATGGCACTGATAATGAAGATGAAGAAAAAGACTTGTTTTTAAAAATTAGTAAGATAATTATATTCAGTTTCACATACAAAGAGGGAAAGAAAAAACTTAATTTATTATTTTTATTTACATGTTATATTAACTGAAGTGTCAGAATGCTATCTACAGAACTAAATTAAATTTCTGATTGAACTCCTGAGTATAGAAATGGTTAGAGCCAAATAACAATGTGTGATATAATAGGTATGGTTCTAGTTACTATACCTCAACATAGGTTTGATAGCAATGAGTTTATTGTTTATTATAGTTTTAACTTCAGACAAGTTACTGCAGCCGAAAGATGTATCTTCTTTCTTTTAGGTTTTATTGCTAAATAGTAGCAAAAGTATATCAAGAATGTATTAATTCCGAACTTCAGCAGTTCGTAAAAATGTAAAGATCACAGATGGTGCAAGAGCGGTACTGTCTACACTGCTTAAAAAAATTCATTACCCTGAAATAAGGAACATTGTGTCAGATTACATTCTATTTCAGTGCTGATTCTACTGAAACTATCAACACAATACTAAATAGCTTAGATTACATTCCTTAGTGTTAGTTAACATTAGCTAAATAATATACTCCTATTTTCAAGACTCCTTGATGTAATACATCTCACGTGAGTTGGAGAACATCCTATAGATGACTGTTGCCATATGGACTTTGATGATTCATATTTTCATTATTTATTTATTTATTTTTAGATACAGTAATATCTTGGAGATAACCACCATGTATTCCAAATTATTTTAATCTTTTGTGGAGGTGATTGTCATAGAGAACATGATTATTGATAATGTTCAATGTCATTTTTAAATTTTGCTTTCAAAACACTGAACATTTACAAAGGGGCCATTGTGAGAAATTTCACTACATTGATTAATGAAGATTGTGTGAAATGATGGATTTATCCTGTTAGCAAAAAATTAAACAAGGTGTTAGTAACTATCATGCTTTGGGATATGTTTCTTTGGACTATAAGTGAACTGTTACAAATGAAGTCTTATACAGGTCTCAGTGCAAATCCTTTGTGTTTTTCTGAGTGTTGCATATTTTGTTGGTAATAATTTATGCCAGCAGAGGAAAAAACTTCAGATGGGAAAAAAGTAGGTCATTGAATACTAAACTAGTTTCTATATACTGCACTGATTCCTGTTCTTGCCAGATTTAAGCTCTATTCATCATTTATGGGCGATTAATTAGATTTCACTAGATGTCTTGCAGTGACATCCATTAAATATTATAGACAACAATGTAATTATCCTGGCTTAATAAATTCTCAAACCTCTCTCAATATCACTTTAATATTCGCATTTAGTCTCATGCATGGTCTGGTCTGGTAGAAATGTTGTGGGGCACCCGAGGGTTACTATAAGTAATGTAGGTATAGTTTCACCCCACTTCGATCTAGAGAAAGCCCAAAAGATCACAGAGCTGACCAAGCTGCTTGAAACGTTTGTTTCACCTCACACCAATAGTCCTGAGACCTCATGTGAACCTCGGGACTTCCAATCAAGACTCCAAACATCTATTAAAATTTTGAAAATATATACAAAGTGTACATAACATTTAACAGGTGGTGCCATCGCACTTACATGCTTTGGAAACATATCCAGTTTCAATTTGTACAATTTGATCTTGGTGGTAGCAATACATATATAGTATTTGGTATAATACAATTTTTTTGACTAATTATCAATAGATGGTATAGTTGTGAGAATTTAAATTAATTAGTACAGTATTAAAGAAGTGCAAATTAGTGTTCCTAATCAAATAAGCAATGATATTGAATTAGTTTAGTAATCAATATATATATTCAAATATAACACTGTTATATTTCAATAGATCAATGATAAGTTTCTTGATCCTAATAGTTATATTGTAATTTTTCATAAAACTCAAAGTACACATTAGCATAGTTCAAATACAAATATTCATGCTATTGTTCCTATATCATTGAATAGTTCATAAAAAGTACATTTATGGATATTGTAATAAATCTTGTGGCTCAAATGTGTATTGGCAAAATTATTGGTGTTAAACAACAAGATAATTAAATAGTATTGACATTTAATTTTTATAAATGTTTATAATAGTTCTTAAAGTAATAATAATTATTCCATAATTAGGTAAACAGTTCCCAATTATTCGTATTTGGTATAGTTTATGTCGATTCAGCAGGATTATTAAATCCATTAGGCTCTAGGAATGGCTCTAGATTAATAGCTAGTATTTGCAATAGTTCATAATAGTTAATTGTCATTATTATTAATGTCATAATTAACAGATTAATTGACAATGACATGATCATGTATAATTTTGAAAGTTAGTATATAGAATAGTTTATAATAATACATTGACATTTTGATTGCTATCATAACCATTAGATATAATAGTTCTGATAGATATAATAATAGACCAAAAGCTATAATTATAATAGTTTCTTGATGTATAGTTCATTATATGATTCCATTTCTTTTATTTGAGATGTTGTCATTTTACAACATAAGTTTGTGTCGAATTTAGGTTAGTTAAGTGCATATACAGTCAAAAGTCATTAATCCGGACACCCATAATCCGGAATGATCTATAATCCGGACCTCAAAGCTACAATTTTTCTGCGCATGCGTCAACGCATAATGCATTCACATGCATGGCGTAACGCGTAATACTTTTACGCATAATACGTTTACGCATTGCGCGTTAATGTATAACGGACGGTATAAGCTAAGCTAAAATTATCTATTTCAGTTAATGTTGCAGATTGCGTTGTTCCTTAATCTTCTAATTGGATCCGGCTTATTATTTTTTGCAGACTGTTAGAGCAATTTTATAAAGGTAAGCTTGAACTTTCGATTAAGTCAAATAGAATTTCTGATGGTGGAGCTGCCGTAGGATCTACAAAGCGAAAGTATGTTTCGATGCCCATCAAACATAAAGTGGAATTGCTGCAAAAAAATGTATAAAGGCACATCCTTTCATTTTCTAAGAATTCCGAAATCTGTTTATCAATTTCACTGCTCTAAGAGGGGGGAATGGGCGCCGCGCAATGAACTGGAAGTTGATCTGTCAGCACTATCTTATCTTCATCTTCAGGGCAGATGTTTTTATTTTATTCGGCTTATAATTCCTTACTAAATGTATATTTCATCTCGATGTATTCCGTCTTTGATATGATTTAATCAAATTCCTCATCATTATAAATCATGAGTACACATCAAATAGTATTCTGGTTGCAATTTTCTAATTTCGACTATGCGTAATGTATGCTTTACGCATGCAAGCATTGAAAGAAATATTTATGAAGTAAACACATATTAAGCTTTTTTTTTTTTTTTTTCGTTTTTTTGATACCCTTTATTTTTTATAATTTTGATACCCTTTAGATCATAATTGCTCTTTATTTCATAAATTACGGTTTCATATTATTTTTTGCAGACCGTTAGAGCAATTTTATAAAAAGTAACCTTGAACTTTCGATTACGTCAAAAAGAGTTTCCGTTTCTGGATCTGCCAAAGGATCTACAAAACGAAAGCATGTTTCGATGTCCATCAAATAAAAAGTGGAATTGCTGCAAAAAATGGATAAAGGCATGAAGAAAGTGACAGAGAGGTTAGTGAAAATGGAAAAATTTTGATTGACAAGTTAGTCGGTATTCTCGGCACAGCAATTACAGGACTTGAACAGCGAAACTTTGTAACTGAACAAGAAATTATGTCTGTTTATAGCATTAAAGAGAAAGTATTAGCACATAAAATGAAGCAACTTAAACAACTTACATTAAAAGAAATATTTAATAAAGTAAACAAATAAATATTAAGATTTTTTTGTAAATTTTGATACCCTTTAGATCATAATTGCTCTTTATTTCATAAATTATGGTTTCATATTTTTAATTTTATTATTTCTGCATGCTATCTTACCAGATTTAAACTGATGATCTATAATCCGGAATCGCCGAAGTCCTGACGAGTCCAGATTAAAGACTTTTGACTGTATCACATTTTGTTTAATGTAAATGTTTTCACTTGATAGAATAAAGTACAATACTTAATAAGTTGGCATAATAGGTTTATAGGATAAGTTATAATTTAGTTTTAGTTCATGTAATAGATTTCATTAGTTTATTTTGTAGCATAAATATATTTGTATCAGTATTGTAGTAATCTTCCTAATATTTTTCTGTTGTCTTTCTTGTGAAATACTTGTCCTTTGATGGATATATATACATTTAAATAGTATTGACCACATTTTAATTATATTGTTTAGGTGAATTAAGTTGAAGAAGTGATTTTAACTTGTTGGTTGTAATGATGAATTTAATTTTAAAGATGTCATATTCGGTTCTTGTAATTATTTTGGTCATTTCCTTTTATATATTAGACAGTTTGGTGAATAAGCAGGGTGATATGTATTAAGGTTCGTATTATTAGCATCATTATGGAGTTTGCAGTTTATACATGATGGACTTTCTGTTTGGCATTCTCTGATATTGTGACTGCTGCCATATAATGTACAATAATTTCTGTGCTAGCAATTTCTAACTGAGTGGGTAAAGTCTTGATATACGAAACATCCACATAAACCAAAAAATTCTATAATTTTGTGACTTAGGTGTGGTTGCTAATGTTTTGCTTCATTAGTATTTTGAAGGCTAAAGGAGAGTATTCAATTACCCATTTTATTCCATTGTTTCTTTTGTCATTTATTTTAAAAGAGAGCTTAAATTCGTTCTCTTGTCGTCCAGATGGTATAGTGGTTAGGGGAGCCTATTTGCGGTAACGAAGGGCCCGGGTTAAGACATGGATGTTTGTAAATGTATAGTGTCGGTGCAGCACTTTAAATGTGCGGCAAGCCGAAAGTCCTCTCGTGTAGAATGGTTGGTGAGGAGAGGGGTGGGAGACCCCCAGGATATCCCCCCAGGGTGTTCTCTCTCAAAATTGGGGTTGGAAAATAAAGTCCAACCTCTCTTTGGAGTAGGCTCTGGCAACCATTGTTCCATGTAATATGGACAAAATAC